GTACTCCGGTCTGCATATGCTAGGTAATAAACCGATGATTGTCAAGGCCTGGTCGGAGAATTTTGATTTCAGCAAGGAGATCCTGCAAACCATTCCAGTGTGGGTGAAATTTCCAAATCTCCCTTTGAATTGCTGGGGAGCTAGATCTCTAAGCAGAATTAGCAGTAGATTAGGGATCCCATTGTACGTTGATGATTGCACTACTCAGCTGGATCGAATTACCTATGCGCGAGTTTTGATTGAGATGGATATAACAAAAGAACTCCCAAAATTCATCAAAGTAACAGATCCAAGTGGAAGAGAATTTAGCCAAAGAGTAGCCTACGATTGGGTGGTAGAATTTTGCCAGAGTTGTAGGCAAATTGGGCATAGCTGTGGGAAAGATGAACAACAGATGCAAAATAATAAGGTAAAACAGCAGAAGCAGAGGCAAGATTGGTTACCAAAAGAAAGAAGCAATGACAAGGTAGATCAACAGATATCAGTACCTGTCAAGAGCAACCAAATGGTAATGACTAAAGAGATAACCAGTAAAACTGATGACTCAAATGCAAGGATTGATTGTGGAGAGGGGGAGCAGAGCTGGACAAAAGCAATAGGGAAGTCTATAGCTAGAAGCAAGGAGAAAATGGGGGAGGATGCAATTAAATACCATTAATGGATTTAATATACTAGCAGAATCAGGATTACAACTAATGCACCCAAGTCAATTTGGGGAAGGCTCGAGCAGACAAAGGAGGCAGGATGAGGTAGAAGGGTGTTCACACGCTATATTCATTCCAATATGAAGGCGATGACATGAAATATTAGGGGTCTGAACAAGACTCCAAGACAGAAGGAGATAAAGAAGTTTATAAGAAGTAATAAAGTCAGTATGATGGCATTACTAGAACATAAAGTGAAGGAGCAAAAAGCTAGTCAAATAATTATGAGGATCACTACAGGTTGGGATTGGCTAGCTAATTATAAGCACAGTAGTAAAAGGGAGTATCTGGTTGGTATGGGATGGTAAGGAAGTGGAATGTGTGGTGATAGAGAAGACAGACCAATTCAGTCATGCTGCAATCCTTATCAAGAACATGAATGTGAGGTTTGAATTCACAACAGTCTATGGATTGCATACTGTGGAGGACAGGAGAAAATTGTGGAGGGATCTACTGCAAGTCAATAGCAAAGTACTTGGGGCATGGATAATCATGGGGGACTTCAATGCCATAAGGTCTAGGGAGGATAGGCCAATTGGGAATCTTGTACAAGAGATGGAAGTGAAGGACTTTAATAAATTTGTGGAGGATGCTATTTTGGCTGAGTTGAGGACTAATGGTAGAAGCTTCACATGGACAAATGGTCACACATACAGTAGGATTGATAGGGCATTGGTTAATGCTGAGTGGATGCTGAAAATGCCTCACCTAGGGGTATGTGTAATGGATTCGGGATGTTCTGATCACTCACCATTGAGCATTACATTTGAAGACAAAGAAGAATCAAGGCCTAAGCCTTTCAAGTTCTTGAACCATCTTGCTGATCATAAGGACTTTATACAGATAGTAAATAAAGCTTGGAAAGAAAGTAGCACATATAACAAAATGAGAGATGTTTGGGAAAGGCTGAAAAAGGTGAAGCAAGCCATGAAGAAATTGAATGCTGATGAATATAATTGCTGTAGGAGGAAGGATCACAGAATTCAGGGAACAACTATGCATTCTGCAAGAGCAAATGAGAAAACCTGGTCAAGTAGAAAATATGATTCTAGCAGAAAAAAGAGTTAAAATTGAAATTGGAGAAATGGCTAAGGGTGGAGGAAAGTATTCTAAAACAAAAATCAAGAATACAATGGTTAAAGCTAGGAGATGGCAACAATGCCTATTTCTATGCAAGCATGAAGAACAGGAACTCCCAAAACAAGATTCAGAACTTAACAAGAAGCAGTGGAACATTGACACAGACAAAACAGGAGGTGGAAGATGAGATAATGGGATTCTACAAATAGTTACTAGGATCAGCAGCTGGAAAACTTCCAACTATTAATCCAGCAATAATAAGAGAAGGGCCACTAATCAACAGACAACAACAGAGACAGTTGATAGCAGATGTATCAAAGGAGGAAATATACAGAGCACTGATGGGGATAAGTGACAACAAAGCACCAGGTTGTGATGGTTTTAATGCACTATTTTTCAAAAAAGCTTGGCCAGTAGTTGGGAAGAAGATAACTGAAGCAGTGTTGCAGTTCTTTTCTGAAGACAAATTATATCACCCAATCAATTTCACTACAGTGACCTTAATTCCTAAGATACCAAATCCAATTAGAGTCTCAGATTTCAGGCCAATTTCTTGCTGTACCATACTCTATAAGATTATCTCGAAGGTTCTAACAAAAAGGTTGCAAGGCATAATGAATAATATTGTAGATGAAAGTCAAGCAGCTTTTGTCCCAGGGAGATTGATCAATGACAACATAATAATGAGCCATGAGCTTGTTAAAGGTTATGGCAGGAAGGGTATATCTCCTAGATGCATGTTAAAAGTGGATATGAAGAAAGCTTATGATTCTATAGAGTGGGACTACATGGAGCAGGTGCTAAGGAACATACAAATGCCGGGAAAGTTTGTGAACTGGATTATGGTATGTATGAGAAGTGTATCATATTCCATAGTTATAAATGGACAACATTCAGTACCTTTCAAAGCAAAAAAGGGATTGAGGCAAGGTGATCCATTATCCCCCTATCTATTTGTCTTGGCTATGGAATATCTTACAAGATTGCTGAAGACTTTAAAGAGGAGTCCAGATTTTAACTTCCACCCAAAATGTGCTAAGTTGAACATAGTACAACTTAGTTTTGCTGATGATCTTCTACTATTCTGCCGAGGTGATTATATATCTGTGAAGATGCTGTAACAATGTTTTCAAGAATTCTCACAAGCCTCAGGTCTAGTTGCTAACATAGGGAAAAGTTCAATATACTTTGGAGGAGTTAGAGATGACATCCAACAAGAGATATTAACAATGCTGGGTTTCTCAAAAGGTATCCTCCCAGTGAGATACCTGGGGGTGCCTTTGAGTACTAAAAGAATGACATTGCTACAATATCAACCATTACTTGAGAAGATGGTAGGGGGAATCCAGTCCTGGACTACTAAGTTCCTAACCTATGCAGGAAGAGTCCAACTTATCAAAAGCATCCTATTCTCCATCCAAGTGTATTGGTCTCAAATCTTCCTATTGCCAAAGAAGCTCATTCTGTTGATTGAAAGTATCTGTAGAAAGTTCTTATGGACAGGAAATGTGGAGAATACAAGGAAGACACTTATAGCTTGGGATAGATTGTGTTGTCCAAGGGTAGTAGGAGGTTTGAATTTGCTGGATATAGGCACATGGAACAAAGCTGCAATGTGCAAACTACTATGGAGCTTGTGCAAAAAGAAGGACAAATTATGGGTGCAATGGGTTCATGTATACTATAAAAAGTACAATCCTGGCTGGGGGACTGAACCAAAGCAGGCATCTTGGGTGATTCAAAAAATCTTTAAAGCCAAGAAGTATTTTGCAGAAGCTGGCTACACAGAGGATGATGTGCTTAGAATGAATACTTTCAGTATTAAAGATGTGTACTTGAAGAATAGAGGAGAATTCAGCAAAGTGTCATGGAGAAGGATCATCTGGAACAATGCATGATTACCAAAATGGATATTCATAGGATACTTGGCTGCTCACAGAAGACTCCAAACAAGAGATAGATTGAAAAGATGGGGATATGTAGAAGATGACTCATGTCCATTATGCAATGTAGAAGCAGAGACCATGAATCACTTATTCTTTCTATGCCCATTCTCAAAGAGAATATGGGCTGCTATGCTACGATGGCTGCAGATTGATAGACCAGTTATGGATTGGGAACATGAGCTGCAATGGGCTGAACAACACTATCGTGGTAGGAGTGCAGCCGCTGGTTGGTAGCTTATACTATATTTGGCAAGAAAGGAATGCCAGAGTCTTTCAAGAAATACAAAGGACTGCTGAAACAATTACTAGAAGTTTAGCACAAGATATACACTGTAGAGGAAATGTAAAGAAATGTCTGAAAAGGAAACTGATTGAATTGAATTCTTATCCTACTGTTTAGGAAATGTATAGATAGAGATAAGGGGATATTAGAGGAAAGGAAGAAGTAGCTTAGTCTGGGGCTTATGTCCAGAACAAGCTATAGCAAATCAGTGTAAAATATTACTTGGTAATAAAAGTTTTAGTTACCAAAAAAAAAAAATAGAGGGAGAATGCACTGGGCTGCGAATCGCCAAGCAGCTACCTAGTAAATCTCCGAAGATCTACTGGAACTATCAACCCTCAGTAGCAGGACCTGTAGTGCCCGAATCTGCACACAGGGATGCAGGGAGTAAAGTGAGTACTCCAACTCAGTAAGTAATAAAAACAAATGAAGACTGAGCGATATAAAATTATGTTAAACACAATATTAAGCTATCAGAGGCATAACAAATCAGTAAATATAATTAAGCAGTGAAATCTCATGAACACCTTTTAAGCAAGTCAA